TCAATGAGACAGCCACTAGAGGATTTGGAGGCTGGATTAACCCTATTATAAATATAGCAGTTTCTCTGAAACTGCTATGTTTATAAAAAAAAAAAAAGGGTTAATCCTAGAGGGACCTGGCACCCAGATCACTTCATTAAGCTGAAGTGGTCTGGGTGCCTAGAGTGGTCCTTTAATAATTGTTTAAGTAAACACTTTTTCTTTTTGCATTAAACATGCTCATTGAGGGTAAAAGGTATTTGATAATTAGCATTTGTCTATTTTATCAGAAAACTGCTCAAGGTTATCCAAAGAGTATTAGGAATGTAAGTGTTGCTAGGGGATGCTTTTTGGAGCTCTTTAGCCACATATATCTACTGGTAATAGAGGGGGCTGGAGGATATTCATGTTATTTTATTTTACATCAGCCAGTTGCTTCTCAAAGCTGCTGTCTATTGACTGAGATGCATCAGCAGCAAGTTGTTCATGAGTAGATAGGAGAAAACACAACATAGTGTAGGGGTTTTCCTTTGGGATCAAGCCCCAGATATTTCTAGAACCTAGCAAGACCCTTGATTAGGACCATGGAGCATAGAGGAAAAACTGTTGTTAGACTGCTCTATACAATCTGTTGTGGTTTTAGAACAGGGGTCCTCAAGCTCTGGCCCCCCAGATGTTGCTGAACTACAACTCCCATGATTCTCTGGTTATCTATATAACTGAAAGAATCATGGGAGTTGTAGTTCAGCAACATCTGGGTGGCCGCAGTTTGAGGACCCCTGTTTTAGAACATGTGTTAAGATTTATAGATTTTTATAGTTTGTCACCTGTATGGATTATAGAAAAAAAAACAAAATAAAAAACATTTCTTGCCTTGTAGCATACTGTAAGACTAATATTACTAGTGGCCCAGATTTCAGCATCTCCATTCTCTCTATGGATGTAGGTAGAGGACACAAACTTTGGTTGAAATAAGAAAGGAGGTGGTAGAAACACACAACACGTTGGAAATAAGCCCTGTGGATGGGAATGCAGAAAGGGTGGAACATGTGAACCATCCAAATCTTCGCACATATCACACTGCATTGCTAACATGGGAACGGCGCCGTATGTGAGACTTTTTAGCCACAAATCCCTACAGTTGTTGGAGTTAGCAGAAGAATATTCGTTTTTATTTTTTTTAAATACATTTTACATCAGACAGATGCTTCTGCAGCCACCTACTATAAAAGAAAATCACTATAATTTCTCTTCCTGGCTACTAAGGGGGAAGGGATGGTGCCTCCCAGGTGACTGTGGGTGGAGGTACTGGGAAATAGAACTTTGCGGTACACCCCTCCATTACTTAGTAGTATATTATAATTACAGTTAAAAATATGACTATGCTTTAATGGACTGTCATATGACATATTCCCACCTCTCTAAGTGCAGGGGTCATATAGTTGTCATTTCAGCTCAAGACACAGGTATTTCTGGAGCCTAGCAACACCCCTGATGGCTAAGGTCATATTATCATTTAAAAATGCACAATGTAATTGACATATTAAATACCACGATTCAGACAAATTGCAAATGTAAATGAAATCCTTCAAACATTTAATTTTTATTTGGTTTATTACTATAAACTAAAATTACTATAATCTAAAACATGATTTTTAAAATATATTTTTCACCTTGCAGTGCTATTAAATCTAGTTACATTTTTCATAAAGGATACAGTACATACAGGCAGTTATTTTTACAATGAAATCATAAAAACATTACAGAACATTATGAGAACATTAGCTAAAAATTTAGGTATTTCTGGCACATTTAAGGGGATTGCTTCCAGGAATTTCAGGAAGCTGTGATTCAATCAGAATGAATTATGAAAAAAATGTAAGATAAACCCATATGTAAGTTTTGCCTACATTCATAAATAAAAAGAAAAATATTTTAAAAATCAGTTAATTTATTTGTTCTGATTAATGAGTGTCTTTGTATACTAAATACACTAACCCTACCAGACTGCTATAAAAGGGATTTCTCCAAATTTTGCCACTGCTAACATCAGCAGAGATATTTCCATACACTGCAGAGGGAATTGTAGCATAGGAGGGTACAGGGTCGGACTGGGGATACAATGCAGCCCTGGAAAAAAACCTGGCCAGCCCCATAAGTCATTGTGCTATGTAGTGTGTGTGTGTGTGTGTGTGTGTGTGTATATATATATATATATATATATACACACAGTCTTATACTCAAGTCAATAAGTTTTTCCCAGTTTTTTAGGGTAAAATTAGGGTTCTCGACTTATATT